TAACACAGGGAAATACATACAAGATCTTGTGGTAGCTCACCGAAGAAAAAAAAATGTGACAATGAATATATGTACGTTCATGTATAACTGAAAAATTGTGCTGTACACTGGAATTTGACACAACATTGTAAAATGACTATAACTCAATAAAGAAATAGTTTTAAAAAAGATGGAAAAAAAAGAAAGCAAGCAAACGGAAACTAGAAACAATAAATAAGACAAAGTATGGTTATTATTTTAATTTTTCAATTTAGATATGCCTGCATTATATTTCTGAAGATGTAAAATGCTGTGGGGCTTTTTAATTAATTATTTTATCTTTGGTTGTTCTGTATCAACTTTTTAGCCTCCAGGTGGCAGTGACAATTTATGGAATTTAGTTGCTGTGGTAAAAGGGCAGGATGAAAGCTTGCTTCCTCAGAACTACCGTAAGGGAATAATGCACTTGAAGCATCTGATTAAGTTCAGAATGGTAAGTAAAGGCTGCAAAGGGGATGTACTCAAACAAAAGTCATTTTTGCCTTTTCACTATTAAAATATGAAAATTATTTTAAATGTATATAATTAAGGTTGATAGACTGAAATGAATGAACATTGAGGAGATGAATCTTCAGTAAGAACTGGTCATGAGAGTGTGAATTATTTGGGAGCAGATTTGGGCAACCATGGTTTCCATGGGTTGAATCTTATGGAATTTTCCAAAGGTCCGTTGGAAAGCACTTGAAATGCTTTACCTTTACATGCTCGCCAGATGATTGTCCTGTGGGCGTTCCTGATTCTTGTCTCAGAGGCCTACTAGGCTATATTAGGACAGGTTTTGTAAAAACTGATGATCTGTTTAGCTCTTAATTAATTTCAGTACAAAACTATGAGTTACCTTTTACCAGGAGCAAAATGCAGTACCAACAAACCAGTCCTGGGACCAGAAAGAAGAAAAACTTTTATATTTGCAGGGAAATAATGCGTAACTGAACTGCTGGACCATGAGGAGAATGATGCCAGCGGGGTGGATTTGATGTGACAAGAAGCAGTTATTTCCATAAAGAAGTATTTTCTTGAATCACAAACTAAACACCCAGTGACTATAACAGTTATCTATTAACTGGATAAAGCCAATTAGTCAGCCAGTAATTTTCAGTCTTTATTAAAGGCCTTTATATATTTTTTCACCGTTATGTATTGCTTTATCATTCACAACCTTTTGGCCCCTGGACTCCCAGTGAATTTTAAGAAAAATGGATTTAGCCTCTTCCCACTCACACTAGACACATCCAGGCTCTGCTCTCCACCACACCAACATCTTGTCTTTAAAGGGGTATTATATTTTATAGAGAAAAAGCATTGATTTTTTAAAATATCTAATTTCTGGTACTATGTGCTCATAAAATATTTATCTGTGTAATAATGCTTTTATAATCACCTGTTATCCCGCATGCTTGTATAACAAAATTTAGGAAATTTCATTCTCTTTTTAACCAGTCTGAAGCCCAAGAATTAACCACAGTCAAGATGTCTAAATTTGGTGGTGGTATTGGTGTCCCGACTAAAGAGGAGAGACTGAAGGAAGCTGCTGAAATACACTTGAGATTGGGACAGATCCAGAGATACTGTGAACTTATGGTTGAACTTGGAGAGGTAATGTGCTATTAAAGCAAAATGAGAGTTTAACACAGTGTTCTAAGTATTAGTTAAATCCTAAATAGTAAACTCATCTTTTTCCAGGTCTGGTTGGCTCTCTGCCGACCTGCTAGCAGGTGTGGACCTTAGAACGGTAGCTCTGCAGGTGACAGTCCAGGCTGGCAGCATCAGCATTGCCTGGTAGCCTGGGAGACGTGCGTTTCCCTCCCAGACCTACAGAATCAGGAACTCCGGGGTGGAGCCCAAGTTCATGCTAGTCAGACAGAGCCCTCCAGCTTGTCCTCACACAGGCTGATGTCTGAGAACCACTGCCCCAGGCTAGAGTCTTTGAGTCCTAGAAAATCCATGTTGGCGAATTTGCTCTCAGTGGATTCCCCTTGCTAATACCGTTTGTTGTAACTCAATACCGGGAGAAGGGTCTACTCTGAGGATCAGCTGGTGGGAGGTGCTCTGCAGGCATGCCCTGATCTTGAAGGGGCACCAGATCCACAAAGCAGTTTTCCAGGAAGGTCAGGATGAACCCGCTGTATTAAATTTCAGGGTGGTGGCTACCTTGGGGAGGTGAGTGGTGACTAAAATAGAGCAAAAGAGAGAAGGGGCTTCTGTTTCTTGATCTGAGCTGGTTACATATGTGTTTGCAGTTTGTGAAAAGTTACTGAGCCTTTCATGTTTCTGCATGTGCATTTTTGTTCAGCAGAAACTCCCCACCCATCCAGAAAAAAAAAAGATTAGAATGGCATGGACTCATTTCATGGCAGATATTTTTGAAAAGCTCTAAGTTAATCAGTTTTATAATTACAAAGCATGATATTAACAGTACTTATAAATGACATGAAGTAAAACTAAGCAGTGACATTACATTAAAATACATCAAAATTAAATTTGTCACCTTTGTATTCTCCATACGTTAGACACAAACAATGAATTATGGTGCTTGGCCTAAAATAATAAAGTGTGCCATTTAAAAATGTTATTGAAAAGGGACTGCAAACTAAAAAAGTATTTAGTTTAGAGCAATGTAGAAATTTTTGTATGAAGAAATAAAGATATGACTTAAAAGTTACTTTTTGTAACAGGACACTGCTGGAAAGAACATCTTATCAAAAGTAAACCAAAAAAATGAATAAATAAATTTGGTGAAACAGTGTAATTATTTATCTTTCTGAGTTCTATATTTAGGTATATACAATTTTAAACTATATATAATTCCAGTGTAATTAAGGATAAGTTAATCAATCATTTACTTGTGGAGCTGATAATTTTGTTGTGCAGTTTCATCAATGGATTAATGATCCAAAAACCTGTGCTTTTTCACCCTCTTTAAAAACTTACTGTCGTTCATGATCACCTCCTTATAGTTTCTATGTCTGTAAAATTAATAGTATGAGATTAGGAACATTTAAT